GTTTTGAAGCATCTTGGGGCCTCGTGTGGGCCTATTGGGTGCGTCGTGGGCATCTTGGAAGCCTTTGGGGGGCCTCCTGGGGGTCTCTTGGTCGCCTCTTGGGGTCTCCTGAGGGCCTCTCTTGGCCCGTCTTGGGGCCCACTTGGCTCCGAAAAAGCCATGCCAGAAGCTGCTGGGAACCCCAGGGGGCACGCGAGAAGCTCCGAAAGATTTGCGAGCGAGGGGTCCCGGTCTTTTGAAATAATCCTCAGGAGCGAGGAGTGAGGCTCAGGCAAAGGGCCTGAGGACACGCCCACTCCGTAAGCATATTCGAAAGAGCGTGTTCTACCGCTGCTGGCGGAAAACCGGGGGGGGTCACTACCGGTTCGAACCCCTCCCCCCCCCCCCTCCGGATCCGGAAAACCGGGGGGGGTCACTACCGGTTCGAACCCCTCACCCCCCCCCCCCTGCTCATCATGAAAAGGGGGGGGGGTCACTACCGGTTCGAACCCCCCCCCCCCCCCCCCTCCGGATCCGGAAAACCGGGGGGGGTCACTACCGGTTCGAACCCCCCCCCCTCGAAAACCGAGTGGGGGTGCGGACAGTGGTGGGGACGGTGTTGGTGGGGACAGTGGTGAGGGGATAGCGGGACAGTGGTGGGGACAGTGGGACAGTGGGACAGTGGTGGGGACGGTAGTGGTGGGGACAGTGGTGGGGACAATGGTGGGAACAGGGGGGGACAGTGGACAGTGGTGGTGACGGTGGTGGTGGGGACAGTGGTGTGGGGACAATGGGAATGAGGTGGAAACAGTGGGACAGTGGAGGGTACAATGGTGGTGGGGACAGTGGTGAAGGCGGTGGCGAGGACGGCGGTGGGACAATGGGACAGAGGTACAGTGGGGACAGTGGTGGGGACAGTGGGGACAGTGGTGGGAACAGTGGGACAGCTCAGTGGGACAGCGGAGGAGTCAGTGGGACAGTGGGGACAGTGGGGATAGTCGGGCAGTGGTTGGGGCCGTGGAGACAGTGGGGAGAGTGGAACCGTGGTGGGAACAGTTCTGGGGACAGCGGGGACAGTGCGACAGTGGTGGGGCCACTGGTGGGGACAGTAGGGGCGGTGGTGGAACCAGTGGGGACAGCGGTGGTGAGGACAGTGGTGCTGGGAACACCAGTGGGGGATGTGATGCGGACGGTGGTGGGGACCGGGAGTCGTTTGCTGGCGGTGAGTGGGGGGGGGGGGGGGGGGGGGGGGTTCGAACCGGTAGTGACCCCCCCCGGTTTTCCGGAAGGGGGGGGGGGGGGGGGATTCGAACCGGTAGTGACCCCCCCCGGTTTTCGAGCGGGAGGGGGGGGGGGGAAGGGGAGGGGTTAGGGAGGGGGGGGTTTTGCCGAGGGAGGGGGGGGGGGGGGAGGGGTTCCAGCAGGGGGGGGGGGATTTTCGGAGGGGGGGGGGGGGGGCGACCCCCGGGCTCCAGAGGAAAAGGTTGGCAATTTTCCACAGTAAAGCGGCGGTGGATCACGCTCTCTCGCATATAAGCATGATTGCACGTGCAAGTGCCCCAAAGGGGTGGTTGACCATGCTTTGCTCCTAAGGTTTCGTTCTTGCGCCGCACACAGCCTTCCAAAGCTTAACGTGGCACGTGGCAGGCCTTGCGAGCACCCCGCAACCTCAGTGGGTTTTGTTCGACTCTCTACGCGGCCGCATTCGACAATGGTCGCCGATGTCACGATTAAACGTTGCGCTCCCGAACTGCCGAGTGTGTGTTGCAACACATGCATTGTGCAACCCACGTTGTGCAACACATGTGGTACATCCTGTAGACTGCAACCCACGCAAAGCTATACATCCTGTAGAATGCATGTTGTAGACTGCAACCCACGTTGTGCAATCTATGAAAAGCAAGCTACAGCACTGGTACGCGCTAGGGGGTTCAACACGTGGGGGTAATGCATGTGATGCCGTGTGCGTGTGAACATGTGTGCACATGCATATATATATATATATATGCGTGTGATACGTACATGTGTATATATATGTATATATATGTGTATGCGTGTATGCATGTGTACACACTTGCCATACTTAATGTGATGCAGGCCAGAGCGCACGCTGCGTGGTGCAAGCTATCAGGCGCAACCTATATGGTGGAATATACGGGTGCAGGTCAGGTGTGTCAACCTATGATTTGTAAACTCGACTGCCGCGCCATCATCCCATCCTCCCATCGGCAATTTGTTTGGCAAATTGATGCGGCCACGACTGCGGCTGCCCATTCGCACTGACTAGTGCATCTGCGTTGGTGCGCAAACTCTCGCGCACAGGGCGACCACCAAACCACCCCAACCCAACCCGAAGCCCTAAATTTATCATCGATTTCCAGTGGGGGAGGGGGGGGGTCGGGGAAAATTGAAAAAACACATGGAACCCGTACCCCCCCCCCCATAACCCGAAATTCTGGTCAAATTCGGGTCTTCGGGTTGGGTTGGGGTGGTCTGGTAGGTAGTCACATATGACCCATACGTCCTGGTCAGATGGCAATCAGAGCGTGAATTACCTACCCCGCTTTCGCTTCCAGACAAGACCAAGTCACACCACGCGCCGCCTGGTCAAGCGACCCGTCTGGTGCGGGCCGTAGCCTGGTGTCGTTTGGTATTGTTTGGAAGCGGGGGTGGTCAAAAGCGAGGTAGGTTCGTTTGCCTCCTAGGCAACGGGTGTTCTGGGCAAAATCGTTGAAGTCATATGGCCCATATGAGCGCAGCAAGTGCGGTCGGGCAGAAACTTTGTGCGCTCGTTGAACCCACTCGCTGGTGATGCTATCGTGCTGAAGCGTTTGCATACTTTACTTTTGGAATGACTTTGGCATGTGCACGCGCGTGTGGACGTTGTGATAGCTGTTGCAAAAGGGTTATTGAAATATGCTTTTTTTCCCAACCATCCTGTGGTGTTGGGTCCTCGTTTTGAAGAGACGGTGCCCCGCGTTCCTTCCTCCTTCCTCCTCCTCCCGCTGCCTCCTCCCTCCTCGTCTCATCATCATCAGCATCATCGTCATCACCCACCATCATCATCATCATCATCGTCATCGTCATCATCATCAGCACCAACATGGTCGTCATCATCACCATCACCCTCCGCATGCTTCTATTTCGGCACACCCATCACACGGTTCGTGGCCCCATAGGGAGCTCCACCGAAGTCCCCAGTGGCAGGGTTCGCATGGCGGCCCCGCCCCATTTTGGCGCACCCCTCACACAGTTCGTGGCCCCATAGGGAGCTCCACCGAAGGCCCCAGTGGCAGGGTTCGCATGGCGGCCCCGCCCATTTTGGCGCACCCCTCACACGGTTCGTGGCCCCATAGGGAGCTCCACTAAAGGCCTCAGTGGCAGGGTTCGCATGGCGGCCCCGCCTCATTTTGGCGCACCCCTCACACGGTTCGTGGCCCCATAGGGAGCTCCACCGAAGGCCCCAGTGGCAGGGTTCGCATGGCGGCCCCGCCCCATTTTGGCGCACCCCTCACACGGTTCGTGGCCCCATAGGGAGCTGGCCCAGTGGCAGGGTTCGCATGGCGGCCCCGCCTCATTTTGGCGGGTTCGCCCCCTCACACCCCATTTTGGCGCACCCCTCACACGGTTCGTGGCCCCATAGGGAGCTCCACCGAAGGCCCCAGTGGCAGGGTTCGCATGGCGGCCCCGCCCCATTTTGGCGCACCCCTCACACGGTTCGTGGCCCCATAGGGAGCTCCACCGAAGGCCCCAGTGGCAGGGTTCGCATGGCGGCCCCGCCCCATTTTGGCGCACCCCTCACACGGTTCGTGGCCCCATAGGGAGCTCCACCGAAGGCCCCAGTGGCAGGGTTCGCATGGCGGCCCCGCCCCATATTGGCGCACCCCTCACACGGTTCGTGGCCCCGCAGGGACATAGGGAGCGCCACCGAAGGCCTCAGTGGCAGGGTTCGCATGGCGGCCCCGCCCCAGCGTGGCGCACCCCTCACACGGTTCGTGGCCATATTGGGAATTCCTTTTGCTTCGTCCCACCTGCCTTGCGGTATTCACGTTTGCATATGGTTGGGTCCTTCGCCAGGATAATTTTGAGATAGCAGATTGTTTTCAAAAGGGAGAGGGGGGGATAACTGCCAACGGCCTGGCTGGCATTTCCTGACTCCATATGCAAAGTGGACAATGGGGCAGAATCATATGTAGTTTGCGGTGTCCCAGGAGGGGTCGAGAAGTCTGGGTTCGGGAGGGTGGTGGAGTCTACTTCCCGTTTGGAAGTAGATTCCACGCGGTGCAATATTTGTGATGCAGCGTACGCGCATGGGCTGCCAGTGTCTGTGTGTTCCCTCCGCACCCGGAAACGCCATCCAGCGCACCAGGCGCCACCGAGTCGCCCACCGGGCCCCGACGAGCACAACACGCGGAGAGCCTTGCCAGTGCACGAGTCGCCCAGGAGGCGCCCACGGGCGGCCGGCGGCCGAAGATTCGGAACATCTTGTCAGCACGCGTGGCGCCCACGGGCGGCCACCAGCCAAGCGCGGGACACCCAGCCAGAATCTCAGGAAAGAGGCCCGGAGTGCAAGAGATGCTCAGGGAGCCACTAGACTTCTCGTCACTCCATTCTTGGCACTCCCTGTGGCGGGGCCGTGGGGTGCTGCCTCTTGCAGCATCCCCCAGTCCTAAGCCTCGGGTGGAGCCGTGGGATTAGTACCACTCTTGGCAACCTCTGAAACGGGACCCTCACCTTTCCAGCGTACCTCGCGCTAGTGAAAAGGAATGTCTGCATTGACTATCGAGGAGGGTGCTTGAGACGGGGCGTGTTCCAGCGTCAGTGGTGTGTGTGTGTTGAGTTTACTCGTCGTTCTCATCCTCCTCATCTGCACTCCCGCTTCTTTTATTCACCCGCTCATCCTCGTCCTCCCCCTGCCCCTCTCCTCATCATGCCCCTCTTCACCCTCTCGAACCTTCTCTTCCTCATCCTCCTCCTGCTCACTAAACTGCACCTCTGGCCTGAGGCCCCTCCCTGGCAGGATGATGGAAGAGGAGGACCCGCGCGTGAAGAAGCTGCAAGATCTGGCTTGGAGCCTGCAGACCATGACGAACAAGCCCGGGGGCAAGTTCCCAGAGGCGCGGGGAATGGGCGACGGGCGCGAGATCCGATCGGGGTGCAGAGGAGGAGGAGGAGGAGGCGGAGGAGGAGAAGGAGGAGGAGTCACCGTAGCTGGTGTCCGCCGTGGACCTCGACCCCCCGAGGTCGCCAGATGCCAGCGCAGGTCTTCCGAGGCTCCCAGGGCCCCAAAAAGGACAATTATCAGGAGGGGAAAAACACACAGACACAATTAATCGTCGATTCCCCAGAAAATATGGGAAAGTATGGGAAGTGGGGGGGGAAGACAAAAACTTCGAAAACATGGGAAAATATGGGGAATCGTTTTATTTGTGTGTATTTATGTGTGTGTCCCTGGGCCCCTTCAAATTACTCGACGCGGAGATCCCCACGTGGGAAGCCCATGCCCTGACACCGAACGCTGTGGGCGCCGGAGTGGCAGGGTCCTGGCCTGTGGCGACTGAGAGCTCCCTGCCAGATGATTATTGCATCGGTCGGGGGTGGACAGAACCCCCAACAGTGACACGTCGATTAGTGAATTGTCCGTTTTCGGTTCTCGAGAGGGCGCCGTGGCCGTTATTTTCCAGACTTGCGCCCGCCAGGTTTGGGCCTCAGGTCGTTTTCATTAAACCACGTTTTACTAAAGGGGGGTCTGTCCATCCCCGAATCGAGATTGTTCTGGGCTTTTGAAAGAAACGGCCCGCCCGAGACATCCCTGCAATCTGGCCGCGAACGGGCGTGTCCCCCTTCCTGGCGGCGCCTCTCTGGGGTGCCCAAGTACTTTGCTCTGCTTCTCGTGGCAAACATGAAGTTCGCAAGAGACAGGAATCGGGGGGGGCAAACGAGGTGAAAAGGCGAACCAGGAAATCCAGCTGGCAACCGGGAAATCGGGCAGGGACATTTTCCTCGGTCGAACGGGGAATTGGTCTCGGCCGAGCGGAGGAACCCTGCGAGGCGTGACCAGGAAATGCTTCTTGGTGGTCGAAGGAATTATCTCGTAGTTGCTGTTGGATGAGGGGTTCATGTATCCGAAGCTTCTACGTTAAACGTTTGGGGGCGGGGTTTCATCTCATGCTTCGGACTTGCGGTGGTCTGAGGGTTCGGGGGGTACTTACAATATCTGTTATCGTTACTTTCAGGTTCTCTTGAGGCGGCGCTTCGTCAGGCTGCCCTCCGTGCAATTGGTCTAGCCGTGGATTGTAGATCTTGGTGCGGTTGTTCGGCTGTCCCGCGCGGAAGTATGCAAAAGTATGGCTGGCGGGTCATGTGAGTTTCGTTGTCCTATATGAACGTTGCTCTCACGCGTTTCCCTGTCTTGTATCTGGTAGGGGGCATTCGGGGTTGATTTTCTTTTCAGACTTCTTGTTTCGTGTGCCTGCAATATGTGGTGGCTACAGGCGCCGTGCGTTCATTTGGCGGTCGGTGGGTGTACCCTCCAGCCTTGGTCGCGTACCGGTTCGCTGAAGGCAGCGCGTCATCGGGTGGTCTTAGGTGCCGTTTGGGATCCTTGATTTTCTCATTACAGTGCCGTTTTTAATACATGCTCCGCGTGCGGATCATGTATTAGAAATGCAGGGATTTAGTATGAAAAGCAACGATGAGCTCATGCATAGATTTATCCATAGATGAGTCATGTCTTAAAAATCCGAGGTTCTTAGAAAACAAAAAAACATGTATTAAAAACTGCCCTGTAGTCTGGCCTCCACCATTCGCGAGTGAGGCGCGCGATCGCGGGCGTGCCTCGTTCTACCCGTGCTGCCCCAGAAGAGTTAAAGGCCCGCAGGTGAGCACCCGCGGGGAAGCACTCCGCTCGAGCGTTCTCGAGCTGCTGTGGCAGCGGCCTGCGCCGGGTTGGTCCTGGACCGTCGCGATGCAGGAGTGCTCCGCTTGGCCGTTTCGCGCGCAAGACTTTCAAACCCCTTCCTCCTCCTCCTCCTCCTCCTCCTTCTCCTCCTCCTCCTCCTCCTACTTATCTTCATCCTCCTCCTCTCCTTCTCATCCTCTCCTCCTCCTCCCCTCCCCTTCCCCATCCTAATCTTCGTCCTCCTCGGCGGCGCCACAATGGCCCCGGGCCCACGGCGAAGCAGTAGCGATCATGCAACATGGGCCGGCGGCATGAGCGAAGCGATTGAATAAGGCGGGTGATGCGTGTGAGACTCCAGTTGGTACTATCAGTTTTCCCAGGGAGTGTCCTATCTCCTCCGGCTGATTCTCTTGGCCCTACGTTTTTTTTCCGGGAGGGGGGAAAGAGGGAAAAGGGAGGGAAGCAGGAGGCGTATGGGGACGAGGACGAGGAGGACGGGGACGATGGAGGACAAGTGAAAACCCAAGACGCATCAACGATGTTGGAATATACCCTCCCTCCAAGATCATTCTTCATAGGTCCCTACAAGGATCCATTCCCACTGAGGGAAGTGCCCCGTGGGGAGAAACGCTTGAAGATCCTGAAGTGTGCCAAAAGACCATCCCCACGATTTGAACGCCATGAGTCAACCTGACTCTTGCGTCTCGACGATCCTGAATCGTGCCACAACGCCGTTCCTGCAACTTCAGCTCCGCGGATCAACCTAATTCTTGCGCCCTGACAGTCCTGAATCGTTGACAATTGCCGTTTCTGGCACGTTAACCATGAAAACCATTGGAACTCTTGCAATCGACGAGAGCCACAGCTTGAAAATGAACCGCCTTCAATCCGCGGAGCTTTTGCAGGTGTTGACAGCGAATCTGCTCGGTGCTGATGCGAGAACCACATGTTGAAAAGGAGCCGCCCTCGGCACGCACAATTTCCACAATTGCTTAGAACGAGAGTGCGCGGCGCTACGGCGAGAGTCACCGTTTGAAAACCAACCGCCCTCAAACCGTATAATTTGCACATGGTTTAAACGAACGTGCGCGGCGCTACTGCGAGACACACATTTTGAATAGGAGCCGGCCTCAATCTGTTAAATTGTTGCAGATATTCAGAAAGAATACGCGAGGCGCTAACGCGAGAGCCACATTTTGAAAGCGAGCCGCCCTCATTCCGTAGAACTCTTGTGCATGTCGTAAACGAGCGTACGCGGCGGTAGGGCGAGAGCCACAGTTTGAAAACGAACCGCCTTCAATCCGTGAAACCATTGCGCACACGTTTCAAACTAATGCTCACAATGCTGATGCGAGAGTTACAGTTTGAAAAAGAATCGCCCTCAATCCGTGAAGCCCTTGCAAAGTTTAGGACGAATGTGCGCGGCATATTGAAACCACCCGCCTCCCGTCTGTGAATAAGCTTCAGGGCCATTCGCGGTGAGGAAGTCTCACGCGAAACGCCCGGCCCGCCCTGGTTCGAAGGATGTTCTCCTCGGGCCGCGTAAGCCGCTTTGGAGTTGCACTAAGTGCCATCGCAAAGGGAACTGGGCGTCTCGGATCAAGTGTGTTTGCGGCTGCGCGGCGCCCGTTGAGGTATCGAGGGCAGCCAAAAAAGCACATGATATGGCAGTCGCAGGTGGATCGAAGCAGCAGGCGCCCAAGGGCAAATGGTCTCAGGGAGCGCCGCAGTTGCAGGAGGCGCTGGGCTCCATCCTCAAGCGGCTCGAATCGATCGAGAAGGGGGGTAAGGCTGCTGAATCCAAGCCTCCTCCGTGGCGCAGTGATTCCGATGACGGGAACGAAGCCAAGGACATCAAGGAGAGGCTTGGCCACTGGCAAAAAAAAACGGCACGCTTCGTTACTCATGAAGAAGAACGAGTACTGGCTGAAGCACAAGTCGAGCGACTGCAGAAGGCACTGCAAGATGCCAAGCCGTTGCACGTCCAGCAGATGTCCGTCAACACGCGCCTTACCAGGGCGAAGGAGACGGTGGCCACGCTCGAGACGAACCTAGAGGAGAAGCGCCAGGAGGTGGAGAAGGCCAAGGCGGACCTGGACAAGCAGCTGGTTGATGCGCAGATGGCCCTTGATGAAGCCAGGAGGCAAGCTGAAGTCCTCCAACAAGAAGCTCGTGAAGCATATGCCAAGGGCCTCGTGCAGGACGGCGAGCAGATCCTCAAGATGGGGGAGCCGCAGTTCGCCTCAGCCAGTCAGGAGTTCAAGGACTGGTTCGGCAGACTACGTGCCGACGAAGTTGGAGGCAAACACCTGGACACCTTGCCGCAGCTGCTCGAGGCTCAGGCAGTGTTCATCAAGGCGTCCCAGAGCCAGGCTGGTGTCGCCGCGGGCGGTGGCGAGCATGTTCGTGCTGGGGCTGATGATGACGATATGGAGCCCGACGAGCAAGCTGAGATCAACCTTGCCACCGCAGGAGAGGCTCTCATTGAAGCCAAGCGTGCAGCGGAAGGAGATGCCAGCAATGAAGAAGCTGCCCTTCATATTGCTGCGGCGAAGCGAGCCCTGCGAGAACAGCTTGCCTCAATACGGAAGAAGCGAGCCCGTGTTTAATAATGTTGGAGCTGGGTCTGTCAGTGTGATGATTGACAGCAACTCTGGTTTCTGGCAGGACAGTGCGATTGACATTGACTGGCCTGACCTGGGATTTGCGGTGCCTGCGATTCAGCGCCACAGAGTTTTCCAGGACATCAGGGAGGCCCCAGCAAATGGTTGGAGGAAGTGGTCCACTTCGTCTACAACATCAGCAGTGTCATCGGCAGCGGCTACCTTCTGTGGTGTATGCACGGCCGCGGCGGCGCGGGTGACATGCGCTGCTATCTCGTTCCCACGTTGCGCTCGACAAGGTGACCGACCCGATTGGCCTCAGGACGAGCGTGGTCATGCTGACCGCGCACGAGCACTCGCTCTGGGAGAAGCTGTTCGTCTCCCAGGTAGTCAGGAGCTGGATGGCCATCAGCGTGATGTTGGAGTTCCACGCCGTGAGTGCCAGCCTCCTGATGAAGTGTGCAGAGTTGCTGTGGTGGCACCGCAGCTGGAAGGTGAGCCTTGTGTACAGGCTCCTGGCTCCGTCCCCGCTGCTGCTCCTGATCGTAGGACTCCTAGGGATGGGAAGGCTAAAGGAAAGCGGAATGAGTGGGTATTTTTTTCCTGTAACGCT